GCGGTTATCCTCCGATCTCATACCACACCCCGCAGTCAAACTCACCAGCATCTGTTCAGTCTCCACAGCACGACCAGCACGGCCGGCCAATCTATGGACAACCGCCCAGCCAGATGCCTCAATCAATGTACTACACACCCTATGCTTCGGCGCCAGTTCCCCAACAGTCACCCTACCAGCAGCATCCTTCAAGCGCGCCACAGCAACCAATGGCGACGCAATCGCTGCTCATGTCCCACCAGCAAAACCAGCAGATGCAGCATCAGCAACAGCAACAACATCAGCAGCATCATCCCCAAACTCCTGGAATGACCGGAAGCCCCAAGTCGCGCATGTCGCAGACGCCACTTCAACGGCCACCGTCAGGACTCGGCCCGCCTCAAGCTCCGCCTCAAGGCCCTCCCGTCGGCACCCCCAACATGCACGCTGGCCCTCCCGGAGGACCCAATGTCAACCCTAATGCCGCGCCTGGTCCCATTCCTGCCACCACTCCCCTTGTTGTGCGACAAGACCAGAATGGTGTGCAATGGATCGCGTTTGAGTACTCTCGCGACAGGGTCAAGATGGAGTACACCATCCGCTGCGATGTCGAGTCTATCAATGTTGACGAGCTGCCGCAAGACTTCAAGACCGAGAACTGTGTATACCCTCGCGCCTGCTGCGCCAAGGATCAATACAAGGGCAACCGTCTTCACTACGAGACTGAATGCAACACCGTCGGCTGGGCTCTAGCGCAGTTGAACCCTTGCCTGCGCGGAAAGCGTGGTCTCATCCAGCGCGCCGTCGACAGCTGGAGGAACAGCAACCAAGACCCCCGACTAAGGAGCCGACGCGTGCGCAGAATGGCCAAGATGACCACAAGGAAAGCCCAATCGGCTAACCATGGTAACCACATGGCTGGACCAGGTGGACCAGGTGCTCCCGGTGTTCCCAACTCTGCCGGATTAGCAGCACCGCCCCGACAACCGAACATGGGCATGGGCGGCCCTCAGATGCACCATCACCATGATGGACCTGGAGGGCCCCACGGAGGACCAGATGACGTTAGCGGTATGTTTCACCAGATGTGATGTGATAAGGCGCAATTGTTGTTGGCTGTTAAATGATACCTTTGTCGTTCTTTCTCCATGTACATTACATACTCCTTGATGTAATACCCCTTCGATACCACTGCCCCATGCATGCTTGCATATATACCCACCCCATAGTTACACATGTTTTTGGTTCAGCAGCGCGGGACGGGAAGTAGAGACATGTTTGGACGTGCAAGCTAACTCTCTTTGTGTACAGCCAATGAATACGGTGAATCACACACTCACCATCACCAAGCGCCAAACGGTCAATCATCATCACCTACCGACGGGCGGCCCGCTCAGAGCTTCTACCCGAATTACCCATCGAGCGACTCCGTCGCAGGCTCCAGCGGCATGCCGCCGATCCACGACAGCCTGAGCCACCCTCCGCCTCCATCGCACGCAGCGGGTGTGCCCGTTTCAAAGCAGCAAGAGCAAGACGAAGAAGAGCGAAAGTTAGCCATGTTTGGCGACTTACCTGACTCGAAGCGCCGCAAGTTCATCCTTGTAGATGATGCGCAACGAGGAACTAGGGTTCGCGTGCGAGTTACTCTCGACACGGTCAAGATGGAGGAGATGCCTGATTCTTACCGCAAGTCCAACTCGGTATTCCCTCGTAGCTATTTCGCCATGCAAATGACCTCTCCACCTGCCAGCCCTCGTGGCAGCAAGGTCTTTGCTGACGAGCCCGATGTTGAGAGCGACCCGAGCTTCCCTCTGGCTGGCTCTACTGTTGTGCCTGTTCCAACGCTGGATGGCGAGACTCGTGTGCCGAAGCCCCGTCTTACTCGTGCGAAGCGGTCGAAGGAGATTACGCTCAACGATCTTGGTTACCGCATGAGCTGGAGCCAGAGTCGTGTTTTCGCAGGAAGGACATTGTTTCTGCAAAAGTCTCGTAAGTCAATGGCTCGGTACGAAGAAGAACGTTTTACTAACCTTATCAACAGTTGATGCCTACCGCAACAAGATGAGAAGTAGCATGATGGGCCAAGGTCAAGATGTGACCCAAGTAGCCCCACATTTCGAGACTCGTGTTGGAAAGAGGCGGTGGAACGAGAGAATCGAGAAGAGCAAGAAGGCGAGGCGCGATGGCTCTCCTTAAGAAGTCTCAGGCCACATGCTCCAAACGGATGCCCTGGTTGCAGGCAGCCGCCCCGTTGACCCACTTTCTCGGCACTTGCAGGGAGCCCCTACGAACGACCGGGGTTGACAACCCTTTTCGACTCGGCACCAAATCCTTCGCGACAGGCCCGGCTGTTGCTTACACCCATGTTTCATCGTGGCTGTATTGGGTTTCAGACTGGTCGTTCATCTGCCGATGACTGCTTCTCTCTCTTTTCGATACTTCTCGGCCACCCACCACCGTCTTGATACCCGTCGGCAAGTTATGATCTCTTGCGACATACTCGGTCGGTTTTCGGTCTGTTCTTTCCTGTCTGTTTATAGCGTGTTGAGCGATCATCCCTTGTGCGAATGGACTTTGGCGTCTGCGGTAAAAAGAGACAAGGAAGCATCTAAAAGCATGACTCAGGACGCTGTCTATGGCATGAGGAAGGAGTCTTGTCGGCTATGATTGCGTCTTCGGATATGTTTATATTGCGCATGTTTTGTGAGTATTTGGTAGATGGGCTAGTTGTTGCTACCCTGGACATATAATAGACATTTCAAAAACAAACATGCAGTCTGACATTAAGTGATTTCTCGCGAGTGTTTACAGCCCGGCAAAAGTCCAGAGTAAATTGCCCTCCTCGAAACCTTGGAAGAGGCGTTTTGTGTATCATCGAGAGACCCGGAGGATGCATCCCAGATGCAGCCAGCTGACCAGTTCGCCCGCAATCCTTTAAAGCACCGAACGAGAAGAGAACCCACACGAACCGCTCAGTAGCCACTCACGATTACTCACAGCGGTACGGCACGCAAGCCTTTCCATGCATGCTCGACGTGATATTGTCCGAGACAAATAAATCACGTCGATAGTCGTTCGGTCGACCTACTCTCCCCTAGGGACATCCCTCCCCCATACGTTCGCAAAGCGGAAGGCGGACAGATGACAGGCCGGGAGAGCCTGGTCTCGCGTGGCTGAATACCACTCATGTCTACGCGTTGCGTGCCTGGTGCCTGACTACCCAGCTCAGGCACACAAGGATGATTTGCTTTTCAGGGTGGGTAAGGTGTGGGTAGTAAGGGGCGAGGGGGGGCGCACCGCACGCAACAGGGCAGGGTATCAAAGAAGGCCAGGCACACGACTGCAACGCAATGCAATGTTGTGCGACGCGACGCGACCCGACGGTTGTTGGGGGTGGTGGGCAGAACAGGCTGATTGTGGTTTAGACACGATTGCCGGAACGGCTGGCCGTTGGAGACCGAAATTACCCATGCATGCATGTGGCATGTGGCACGCGAGACGAGGCACGCGCGGAAAGGACCCCAACCAACCCAACTGCTGCCAACCAGCCCCCGAAGGCGTCGAAAACGGTAAAACCGTTACGAACTTAGGAGTAGTCGGAAATGGCCCCCCTCCCTCCCTCCCTCCGTCATCCAAAGCAACGTAAGAAAAACTCTCCGAAGTTGCAGCGATGGTGCTTGGAGGGCATGTCACACTGGGCGGGATATGCCTAGTTGGCTTGTCAAAACTAAACCAGAGATGGGCTGACATATCGTTCGCTTTTCGCGCTGACGGCAGTTCCAAGGCTCTTGGTATACTCGTGTGTGAAACAGATGCTTTTCTCCGTCTGCGCACTCTACCTGCAACAATTTTCCTTCTAACCAACGCCTTCTGTCCCGTCTCGCAGCATCCCAGATCAATCCTCCGCAATGCCAATTCCGCGACTACGCAACCTGCATCAAGACTCGAGTCGTCCTGTCCACTCGCGGCCGCCCCGATGCTAATACTAAGAAGAACCGAACTCCCAAGACCTTCTCCACTGCAAGTCTGCAACCTAGAAAAGTGAACTAACTAATCCGAACCAACTACGTCGCTAGCTAGTAGCTACTCCACTTTCCAAAAAAACTCCGGGCACCCAAAGCCAGCCAGTCACAAGTTGGCGAAGCCCACTTTCCGCACTACTAAACAGCTAACCCGACGTTAACGTTAATCTTCGGCGCGACTTGCCAAACCGTTGAAAGTATTAGCACCGCCGACCGTTTTTTTGCTGCGTCGTTGATGCTCGTTTCCCCGTCTTGGCTCTCGTGTGCAGGATGGTTGATTGAGCTCGTCCTCTGTTAGATGCACGGAGCGCCGTTGAATGATTGAATGAGGCTGGCTGATCGCGTGCAGCTAATAAGCTAGTGTTTTAGCCATTGCGGGGCAAAAAAGCTTTGCCTTTTACTATTGACACTGTTAGGGCGTCTACTACTACTGTAGATGAGACTTTTCGACGCGTCGAGATCCGGGTTCTAGGAAGGCGTTTGGGCGGTTGCTGTCATGCGCTTAGGAGAGTGGGGTTGCAGGTGCGTGAACGGGGACGGAACTAGTGTGTCTGTCTGGCCGATTCGGTGGCTTTGATAAGCTGCAGCGCATCGTCATCTCCCTGGTTGCAGTCTTTGGTGATCTGGATGCTTTTACTGTGAGTAGGCTGTGGATGGATTGGCTAGGTGGGGGCGGTTCGTTTGGCTTTTACGCAAGAGAGATTTGACGTGTTCGATGGGCTAAAGTGTGATAGCATTTGGGAGGACTGTGTACCAGCTTCTTGTCACCACTAGCTAAGCAAGAACCGTATAGAGTTTCGATGAATGATAGAAGTGTAGCTAGTGCGAAGCATATCGCGACTCCATGCGAGTAGACGAAGATACGGATACTTCGATACTACCTGCTCTGCAAGAGACATCTCCACTGCTAACCCCCCCTGCGACATGGTAGTTTCATTCGAGGTACATCGTACAAGGCGTAGCTCACAGTCAGTGCCCATGACTTCAATTCTGTGCTTTTCACCTCATAGTCTTTCTCGCGCGCCTCCCACTCTGCCCAGCCATCCGCTGAGCATGCTCCGGCATCTCAACTGCGGTCACTGCACGTGCGCGACTGCCACCGTCTGTCCCTCTTGATCTCATAAGCCTTTCCTGCTCTTGCGTCAGTCGCAGTCTCTCTCGATCCGCCTCATGCACAATAACGCCGTCGACGACGCTGTACTTACTGATGTCCGGGTCATCGTAGTCGTCCGAGTCGTCTTGTACTATGGGTCGAGCAGCGCGAGACTTGGCAAGATACCTGTCGCCATTGAAGCGAGAGTCTGTCCATGAAATCAATCCAGCGCCGTGTTTTGGGGATGTGATACCAGAGTCTGAAACGTCGGCCAGCATTTCTACGTCCTCTGCAGCGTTGCCAGGCGCCGGTGTGATTGACATGGCCCGCATGCCACCTCTGACTTGCTCGAAAACTCCAGCTTCAGCTGTTGCTCTCTCGCGCTGGTTCGCTTCGTCGATAGCAATGCTGGTCCGAGTTTCTAATTCGGCTTCGCTGAGCTGCGTAATCTTTGCAGATGCATCAAGCTTGGCTTTTCGGGGTGAGCGCGATACCGTTGCTCCTTGAGTCTTTGACGTAACAATTTTGGACCTCTGAGACGCAGGTGTCGGTGTAGATGGTGTCGTCGGCTGAGGCTTTCTGGTGGGCATACGCGGTGGGGTAGTCGGTAATGCCACATCAGCTTGGCTGTTGACCTTGGGTTTCGATTTCTGCAAGCTCGTGAAGCCAAAGCCATTTTTTCCCTTGTTGTACACACCTTTTGAGGCAAGAGCTGGTGGTAGTGGTGGAGGAAGTTTAGCCTTCTTTGTCGCCGGCCTAGATGTCTGCTTCTTTATAGGCTCAGGAGCATCGTCCATCATGACAGGGGAACTAGGCTCCTCATCATCAGACGGCGGGGCATAGTCACTCTCCTCATCGCTGCTGAGATCCACCACCTTCCGCTTGCCTCTGCCTGAACGGGAAGAGAAAGAAGTATGCGATACGACTGACGCATCGCGTTGACTTTGCGAAACACTCGAGGCGCGATTAGTAGGCGTAGAAGTAGATACCTGCGACCCAGCCCGAACACCCCTAGCAACCGCAATACTATCTTTGGTGGCACTGGCTGGGAGGAATGGCCTTCTGAAGCCGGGAGTCTTAGGAGTGGTAGGGGTAAGTGGCTCTGCGGTTGGGGTGCGAGGGCTCTCTTGAGTGGATACGAGACCAGTATCTTGAGGTGATGGAAGCATGTTTGGAGTGTGTTGCTGTGGTCTTGTTGGAGCTATGTACACGTTAGTTCAGTCACTACAAGATCGAAGACAGCAAGCTTACTACGCGGAGCTTCATGCATCATCGTGTCCATACCATTCGAAACCGATCTACGAAGGTCGCTCTCCAAGTTTTTGGTTGCATGATCCGGGACAGAGTCAGGACCAAACCTGTCTCTACGTCCAAGGTCTTGCGAAGACTCGATTGAGCCATTTAAATAGTAAGCATGGCCTGCACTTCGCAAAGCTCCGTGGTCGTCTCGAGGAAGGCCATGGAAAGCTGACTCCCGGAACATTGATAACTGGCCTGATTGGTAGCCTATACTTTGTTGCGATTGAAAGTTGTCTGGCTGGTGGGCTTGAGAGAGCCTCGAAGAAGCGAAACCGCTCGTCGACTGTAGGCGTTGTGAAGCAGAAACTGTGGGGGTAGCCCACGGAGAGGAAGCCGATAATGGTCTACCTCCAACATTGAGTACTGTTCCTTGACGGGCATCTGACATGCGAGGCACATTTGCCCAGTTGCCAAAACCCACGCCCCCAACCAGGTTCGGCTGTGTACTGAGGACAGCTGCTGGCGCATGCTGAGAGGCGACGGAGTTCGAGACGTGCACACTGGAAGTATTACTGTTACTTGTACATAGTGCCGGCGGTTGTGTAGATGGGTACGAGGGTTGCTGAGTAAAGCCATGACGCTCATGGTTCAACTGCTCTGGCTTTGGCGTGTCCTATATCAATCAGTCTTGGGAAAGGAATGCTTTTGCCATTTGCCGACTTACCACGTTTCCGATCTTGTCAGACAAGCTGAGAGGGTCTTTCGCGACAGGTCCTTGCCCAGCTATCTTGAAAATAGGCTTCTCCTTTACCAACACTGGTTCATCATCATCCTCGTCGGAGCAAAGATCAATGATCGTGACGGCGGCCTTTTTGTTCCTGGGTCCTGCTACCGGTGTGTTTGCGTTGCTGGCTGGCTTAGATATGGATGGTGCTTTGGGCCTCGGCGCCGGCGTCTTCTTGATGGTGGGAGCAGCTCTCGGTGGTGCAGCAGCTGGGCGACGATTTGCCTGACTCTGGACACCCGTCTTAGGCCCAGTAGCCGTGTTACCAATGTTTTTCTTCTCCCTATTTGCTGCCGCGTTGGCCTTGCTCCAGAACTCTTCCTCTTCTTTCTGGTGTTTTGCGAGAATAATTGCTCGCTCCTTGTTGACGTTGTCTTGAAATTTGGCAAAAGACTCCGTCGCATACCGTTGGAAGCCCTTAAGTTCAGCTTCGTGCTTTTGTCGGAAAGTGAGCCACTGTTTGTCTGCAGCACTGACCTCGGGGGGTTTCGATGCCATGCTAAGAGTCGCAACGCGCTGAAGTCAAGGCAAAGATATTAAATACTGTGAGGTAAGAGATTTCGTTGCGAGCGGGAGAAGGTGGGTAGATGGAGTGGTGATATACCAGCTTGGACAAGGTGAAGGTGAGTGAGAGATCTGCGCGATTACAAACGGGACCAAGGTAAAGGCGCAACTCATGGTGACCACAGTTTTGAGGATGCGTAAGTAAGGTAAGACCTCTATGTTCATGGCTTAGGCTTGCAGGTAGGGTGCCTTGAATAATAGGTAAACGACGCCGAGACGCAAACGACGAGTATCCACTTTTGACCTAGTGGCTGTTTGTGACCTAGGATGCTATATAGAGAGGGATTGGCTGCGCGCAAGCCCAATGCAATATATCAGTCCAGTACTGTGCGTATCAAAAGATGCGTGCGCGACAGAGACTCCATCGCATCGACTCTCAGGATATCGATCCTCCTGTTCCCAATTATCATAACCCATACAAAACGCGAGGTCGACTTCGGCTAGGTCTAATAGCCTCGCGGGCATGAGTAGCCATACACCTACTCAGTGCAAAGGCTCGCAACTAGCTCGAAGGCTCCCGTTGCTGCCTTCCTTGTCTCAGATTTGCGTCGCTGCGAAGGGGATGTGAGACCTTTCAGCAGTCATCTGGTCGAGACTCTCCAATCAGGTCGCAATAATCTGAACTGCTCGTGTGCCGTTCACCATGCTCTCGGGTATAAGATGGGTCCTCGCGCCTGTGGTCATCTCCATTCTTGAATCGGTGATTCCGTGATGCTTTCTCTCCCTTCATAGATATTTCTTCGCGGCAGTCGCAACTCTCTGCCTAAACACTGGGCTCTTGATGACTTCCCCATTGCCCACGGCAAAGAATGGATTCATAATAGTCTTGACCCAAGCCTCGTATACGTCGACCATGAAGTTCTTAACAGCTTCTTCCGTGGCTGGACTGCTGGGGTTGTATAGACCAGCACCTCCTCCCAAAGCAGCTCTTCCACCCGCTAGACTTCCCCTCGCGCCTCCAGCACCTCCACTTGTCAGCCCCAGGCTTTCGTCTCGCGGTCTTGTGAGTAGGAGGAAGCGTGTATTGCCGCCGGTGATCCAGCACGACACGAAGCAGTTCTGGTATTTGTCGATGTGCTTAAGATACATGGGCGCGGAACCACTGGATGTAGAAGGGCCCCATTGTACTTCCTCGACTATATCGAGAGACGAGTGTAGAATGAACGGGACGAGGGCGCGCTCTGCGGGGGTATAGTTCGCGACACCGGTGCCGCCGCTGCGTGAGGTACCGAAGTCGTGCGTGAAGAGAGGAACATCGAGAGGCGACAGAATGGAGAACGTGTATGACATGGTGAGGTATGAGGTTGTACGTCGGTATACGTGTGGAGTGGTTGGCGTGCGCCCCGTGGTCCAGGTGGGGATGCGTGATCTAGCCTAGTACAGTCTTTCTGGCTTTTACCGATGTCGAAGATAAAGGCACCAGGATTCGTAATTCGTATCGTCGTAAGAGTAGCTTGTGTTTAGCTGTGCAACGTGTGGGGTGTGTCGATGAGCTTCCCCACGCTAATCGGCATGTCTGCCAAGAAAGTCCGCGGGAGTGCCTTTCGAAGAATATCGCGACTTCGATTGCGCAACCCAGCATCGCCAACCCCAGCACGTCACCATGTTCGGTCCATTCCGCCTCACAAACCCGCTATCGGGTGGTCTATTATGGTGCGACTCCCTGCGTTTCCCGAACTGTCACCCGCGCGCAATTGCTCGTCGTCGCCATCGCATTTTCTGCTCCGACGCATCTTCCACCAGTTGGGACTCGATATCTGGCAGTCCGTGCTGACAAAGCTATAGGAAGATACCATGGCGGCTATCCAGACACCAGAAGTACAGGCAACGCGAGCGCCTACGGCACGTTGACACTGTGGTCGGCACAATCGATAACGCACTACGACGCATGGGACAGAGCATGAAGAAGGTGGAGCGCTGGAAGATGGAGATGCCAACCGAGGCGGAGATGCTGCCCAAGGACAAATACACCGTTTTCGACCGTAAGGTGAAGAGGTATCGAAAGGGAATACACAGTAAGTTGCATACTTCTAGTATTTTGGGACAAAGCTTGGTGGCAGCCGAATGAAAACGGGGAACAGTCATGATAGGTTACATTCAGAAGTTGCAGTTACTGACATTTGACAGAGGTGCCAAAGTGGACAAGAGTCAGTCAACGACTGAACCCTCCAGGTTTCTAGACGGACCACACCGGGAACGACGGTCGCGTATGTGTATACCATGTATTACTGTACAATTTGCATCAGATACGGCGCTATGGGAGGAAATCAATACAAACTTCTCAAATCTGTACCGGCAGCTTGCGTCCCATGCGTGCAGATATCAATATGGATCATTAGCGAGTTGGGCATCCCCTTGCATGCAGATCGGCCATGCATGCTATCGCATGTACTCATCCATGTTTCTACGCCCTACCTCTCTCTCCAGGCTGCTCCTTCCCAATATTCTCCAAACATGTCAACGTCACCTGCATTATACACTCTGACAGCAGTGGAAGCACTGGAACTGCTCAAAGCCAATACCATCACAGTGGAGACCTATGCACAATCTCTCCTTGACCGCATCCGCGACCGGGACGATATTGTAAAGGCATGGGCCCATCTCGGTGAGTCTTGCTCTGCCTATAAACACGTCTCGATCTGAGCAAAGGCCAGACCAGCAGCTTGTTCTACGCCGAGCTCGTGAACTTGATCAAATACCAGAAAACCAGAGAGGACCGTTGCATGGAGTAGCGATAGGCATAAAAGATGTGATGAACACGAAAGGTCGTGAGGTACAGTTCTTTGCATGCCAGATATTGACAAGCCCCAGACACGCCCACCCAACACGGCTCTCAGATATACGAGGGACACCAATCTGGCTTCGACTCATCGGCTGTTGCCATTCTACGAGCTGCAGGAGCTTTAATCTTCGGTCTGTCAATTCACCTTCCCTGTGAATGATTGTTGACGTCTCCCACAGGCAAGACAACGACAACAGAATTCACAATAACAAATTGCGGACCTCCGACCACCAATCCCCACGACCCATCTCGAACCCCAGGCGGCTCCTCATGCGGGTCCGCCGCCGCAGTAGCCGATATGCAGATTCCGCTTGCTTTGGGCATACAGACAGGCGGAAGCGTCATCCGACCAGCAGCCTACTGTGGGACATTCGCCATGAAACCCACGCACAACGCCATCTCAACCTCGGGGCAAAAGATTGTTTCTTTTACATTCGATACTATCGGCTTCTTCGCTCGCAGCATGGCGGATCTGCAGTTACTGGCAGATGTCTTTTCCCTCTGTGACGACCAGCGCCCAGGAAAGGTATGCTTGGACGATATCTCAGTCGCTCTTGTTAAGACACCGATGTGGTCACATGCTGGACCTGGTACTATGAACGCCATGGAGAAAACAGCCGCCATCCTGCAAAACCACGGTGTAAGAGTGGAAGAGGTGTCCCTACCGGATGTCTTTGGTGACGCAGACAATCTAACGCGCTCTCAAAACGCAATTATCGACGCTGAGGCCGCCCTCGCTTTCCACGAAGAATACCGTCTACACAAGGATGGTTTGGACGTCTCAATTCGGAATCTAGTAGAAAACCACTCCAAACACGCTGATGCAGAAAAAGAGAAAAGCGAAGCACTGGAAAAGCACACGCATCTACGTACACTATTCGACACGATAGCGACCAAGTATTCTGTCATCATCGCGCCAAGTGCTGTAGATGAGGCGCCGGTGGGGCTTAACGATATGGGGAGTCCGGTGTTCAATACGATGTGGACGGTAAGTTGACTTTGTCACAGGTGGTAGATAAAAACGAGTTTGACTTTTATCCAGGGTCTGCATGTGCCGGTGGTACATGTTCCTGCTTTCGTGGGGTTGCATGGTATGCCCGTTGGTGTTTCTGTTGTTGCGGGAAGAGGGCGCGACGGGCATCTTCTTCGGATCAGCAGAGTTCTTGGAGAGGTTCTTATGGCTGAGGGAGGGTGGCGGTCGAAGGCTTAGGATCTTAGTCCGTGCTAGGAAGGCGATTGGGTTGTGGAGTAGCGAGATAATTGGACTTCATGCGTAGTTGACCACGACATTAATCGATAGACCAATGGACACAAGATCAAGTTCACAGGGCAGTAGTGTAGATGAATGTAACGAGGATGAGCAGCGTGAGATTCATGCTAACTGGCTATCTGCCTAGCCCGCTGACAAAACGATAGACATGCCTTCTAAACCACCCAGTGAAAGCAAATGCATAATGAAAAGGATATGCAGCAATTCCACTCTTGCACGCAAAACAACAACACACCGACCGACGAACCCACAAAACTAAGCAGTCTGCGTGCCTACGTCAACACCCTCAACGCTCACCGCAGGAGTAGCAGCAGACGCAGGCTGAACGGGCGCTTTCCTCTCCCCAAAGTTGTGCAACCTCTCTCCTATAAGATATACCTCATCCCTAACGACCAACCTCCATCTCACGAGCAGCCTGACAACCGCCGACGAAGCCCACATTACCACCAAAGCAAGTCCCACGGCCGGGAAGCTGAAGCGCCAGAGTAAGTTCTTTGTCGCTTCGTTCGCATTCCGGTATAGCGTTCGACTCGTGACAAACGCCAGACTGGATGGAACGGCAATAGCGACGAGGAAGAGCGCGAGCACGGGAATGAGGAAACAGCGTGTCGCGATCTTGGCGTTGGGGTAGAGCCAGCCATCTCTGATGACAGCTTTGAACGCGCGTGCAGGCCGGGAATTGCGGTTCGCGAAGACGAGGCGCGCGGCGAGACGAGAGTACAAGAAGCCGAGGGTCCAGTCTTGGATGACGTGGACGACGTGGGGTTCCTTGGGGCCGAGGTAGGCGTGCAGCGGCATGAGGAAGTAGAGTTCTAGGAGGACGGCGAAGAGGAAGGGGATGGCGAAGATGAGGGTTGCCCAGACGTATGAGAAGCGGAGGGCGCGGCCGCCGACGCGGGAGGTGGTTGCTGCAATGTGGTGGAGTGTGGACATGGGATCTGGGATGGATCGATTGAGCGACGAGATGAACTTGAAGGCGTGGTAGGCGGAGTAGCCGATACTGGCGAGCGTGTAGACGCCGAGGGAGAACGCGTGGATGTCGTTCATCTCAACGGTCGGTGGGAGGAAGAGCGAGAAGAGGTAGCGGCCGAAGAGGAGGGGTAGGATCGTTACGCTTACTCCTGATAGACCCATGAAGATCCATATCGTGACGATGAAGCAGAGAATGCGCACGCGGAACCATGGTGGGATGAATACCATTGACACGAGATCAGAGTTGTGCACTCCACCCTCATTCTCTCCATCTTTGCGCACGTTGTCGCGGTCGACTTCGACGAAGACAGGTTGGCCCTTGGGGATGCGAGCTTGATCGGAAGCGGGTGCACGAACGTATCGACCATCATCGCCTTCTTGCGCAGGTACCTTGTCGCCGAAGAGGAAGTTGGACAGGCGAAGGAACCCAGCGCACTTCTGGAAGCACCATTTGTAGATGGTATGCAGACCCTCGCTAGGCTTGTAGAATTTGATGATGACCGGCGTGAGGAAGTTGTAAAAGAGAAGGTCGAGCGGAAATTCCAGCGATGGTGCTTCGGTAGTCCAGTGGATTGGCAGCACGTTGGTAGTAGCACGACTCAAGGTCCATACGACACCGCCGAGGCATACAATAACGAGTGCTCCATACACAAGAGCGCTGAAGGCGATCTTGCGAAGTTGAGTCGTAACGCTACGCTCTAGGACGTCCCGAACAGGATGGAAGGTCGGATCATCTGGGTCGCGGATGAAGTAAAGCACACCCTTGCGCATGATCTTGCGGCACATGGACACAAAGAGCGCGAAGTGGAACATGTAGCAGGTACCGATGAACCAATGCACAAATCCAGATGTCCATGGACTCTCTCTCGCGAACTGCCACCGGTTGTACAGCGTAGCGTTCTGGAATAATGGGAGCATGGCCAAGTCGAGAAGCAGCCCGCAGTACAGCGGAAATGCCAACATTTCGATACTAATGATAAGGATCACCTTGAGCACACCTCCGGCTTGTTGCAGTACATCAGAAAGAATGCGTTCGATCCTTTGTCCTTGCTGTGACGAGCTGAAAGGTGTGCCGCGCCTGAGATATATCGCACCAAGAAAAGCGAAGAACCCATAGCCAGCAAGTATTGCAATCAGGCGGTCACTCGCCGTCCATCGCTCCAATGCAGTATATGCTGCAGCGGTGCTGCTATTCGAGTCTAGATCAATGGTGATCTTGTATGACTTGGCCGTCCAAAGCCATGAGAGCAGAGAACTGCACTGGCCGTAGGTAGTCGTAAAGATATCTTGAATTAACGAGGGAAGGCGTCCAAGGACCCTCAGCACAAGCTTGGGCGGTGAGTCTGCTGAAATTTCCTCGATGATGGCGTTTGCAAAGCTGCTCGTTTCATTGAGCGCAAATGAGGTCGTGTTCTGCAGGCTTCGTAGTGAAGCGTGTGCGTTGAGCGTGAATTGGGTGTAGCTGGGCTGAGACGATAATGGCGAGTCCATGAACATCTTGCCAATACGAACCATCGCACTCTCTGCAAGGGAGTATGCTGGCGTAGATACTGCACGGAGTGGACCATCTATGGTTTGAGACAGTTTCCCCAAGGAACACAGCTTGACCAGACTGGAGATGGCATAAGAACTCCAGTACGTCGTACCAGCTACGAGGAAGAGCGTAACGTCGACTATGAAGTCCGTTACTGCAGCGACCGCCTGTAGAGGGATTTTGAGGAGTTCGATAGGACTTCCCACCATTATTATGACGAACTTACCCCAGAGATAAGGAACCCATACAGCGCACGCCAATGTGCAGGTGATCAGCACGGCACTGAACAGGGCGTTCTGGAAAAGACCGACAATAGGCCCTTGCATACCAATGAGCTCAAGTATACCTTCCAGGTCTTCAGCGTCTTCAATCGCTTCCTGGTCGTTGACATCTATGCCAGCTTGTGCAGCAGCAGCAGCAACTTCAGGATCTTGGGGCGCAGCATTGCCATGATCCCGCGGCTCATTCCCTAAGAAGGGCACAAAAGGCGCTTCGTCTGCCAGATCGCGCACGATATGCTCATCGTTGCCTCCCTCTTCGACAGGTTGAGCCATCGGGGCTATGTCTCCAAACATCCAGTCCAATACTTGGTTCACTGGGTTTTGTGGAGGTTGAAGAGCTGCTGGTTGTGCGTTGGCTGGAACCGCAGGCTGATCGTCCGGGTTCTGCTGACCCACTTCAGAATGCTCCTGTTCTTCGCGGGTGGTCGAGTCTTGGTCAGGTTGGCTACTGCTGTTGTCGACTTCAATCGTAGTATCGACCGTAATTGAGTTGTCTAGATGAGTAGAACTGCTCTGTGCAGAAGACGTTGACTCGGGTAGATTATCCTCCACACTGGCGTCGACGGCCTTAGCTTTACCCTTGTCGTGAACATGTTCTCCTTCCAGCGCTTGGTCGGAGTCATCTTCTACAGCCTCAGGGACTTGCTGCCAGCTTCCACTGCTGTGCTCGCTACCCGGTTCGTGGTCGGATGCAGCCTCGGGTCCTTGATCGGCTCTTCGGTCTGCGTTGTCGTCGTCTTCCCACGATTCGGGTACGTTTTCAGCACTTTCCTCGTTCGAAGCTGACGATTGTGGTACGTTCTCGAAAGACCATGAATTACCCTCCTCTAGGCCGCGACGGATTTCTGTCGCGATGAAGGATCTATCGCGTGCTGGCATGTTTGGTCTGTGCGAAGATGAAGACGATTCGGAACCTTCAAGATCTGGCGCTACGCCTGAAGGTTGGTGGAGTGACGAGGTTCTTGCAGGAAAGCTTGAGCTGCTAGCCTCGCCGTCTTCCATCATTGCTCGCTCAATAGCCTCGTTAAAGCTCTGGGATGGAAATCCATCGTCATAGGCATCCACAAGCTCATCCGATTGCATCATTGACCTCAAATCACCCGAGAGGCCTTCGCGTACTATGTTGCGAACAAGCTCGTCGCGTTCTCGGCGGAGCGAGGAAGACCGGCGAACGCGGCGTATCGTAGGTTCGGCAGTCTCAGGCTCATCATTCTCGCGAGCGAAGTCTCCAGGGGCAATTGGCTCGTTTTGGTCAGCATTTTCAGGTTCATGAGCTTCTTCCACATCCGCGGCCTCCCCAGCCACTTCAGCGTCCAAAGCATCTAGAGCGTCTTCCAGCTCGCCCTCGTCAACGACCACGTTGTCAACGAGAGCCTCCTCTTCTATGATGGCAGCCCTCTGCGCAGCATGGTTGTCACCAAGAGCAACCATGTTGATGACAGGTTGTTGCTGGACCACCCACTCCCTGATCAGGAAGACAAGGATAAACGCCACGACAACGAGTAGAGTGATGATCTGGCCCTCTATCACGTCAACAATAAAGCGATTGGCGCTTTGAGACTGGAACCAGTTGAAGAAGGGGACATCGGAGAGAAGCGACGGACTGCGAACACCGAGATGGTCTGAGGTAGTATTGGAAACGGTGCCGTTCTTGTCAACGACAGATACGTGAGTAGTTATTCTGTCGGATTGTGCAAGCTGGGAAAAGGGGAATGGGACCCCGAAGAAGACTCGTTTGGCATAGGTCCAGAGGATGGATTCGCTAGTCGTGGAATTGTTTGGAGTATACGTTATCTTTATGGGCCCGACGGTACTTGCCACATGCACAGTCGAGTTGTTGCTCTTGGCGGTATCGAGTGCAGAGCGTATCAGGTCGATATCGCTAGGGGCCAGTCCTCTACCGGTCGCGGGCATTACCGACGTCTCAGGTGTGTCGGTAAACATGTCTTGTGACCAGCCACCATCGCCGACCCAGAACAGGCTGCGCCATACGACGCGCATGCACCAGGGTAGTAGGAAGAGCCAGACGGCGCCCACCAGGACCCCTCGGCACCAGGTTGCGAACATGTTGAGGACGTGCAGAGCGGCGCGGCGTACGAAGACGGTCGTGGGTATGCGATTCGGCATGCCGGGGTGGTATAGTTTGGTGAAGCGGAAGGATGTCTTGCACAGTTCGCAGTGCTTCTTCTGGGTGTGGGACAGCCATTCCATCAGGCATTCTTGGTGAACGTATTTGATGCTACCGCTGCACTTGCAGGGAAAGAACAGAGGCTCTTCGG